TTAAAAATTAAAACAAAGAAAACGGATATTGAAATTCCGTTTTTTTTAATTATAGTTAAGAAAACGGAAAACGCATTTCCAACACATGTTTTCAGGACCACAAAAAAATTTAAAATAGAAATTTCTTCTCTTTTTTTCTGGCATTAATTTAGGGAAAACATCCGGTGGTGGTTTGTAAATGTTTTTTGGGTTTTTTTCTGAAAAAAAAGAAAAATAGAGAAAAAGCATTTTTTTTTTTGTCAATTGAAGGTGGGTCCCACATCATCAAAAATAATAATAAAATTGATGGGTTTAACCGATTAATGGAAAAACCATTGATTTTTGAAAAATTCCATTAAGTGGATCAATGATGATGAATAAACGAGAAACTTGTGAGTAATTTTACTAGATGTTAAACCCATCTGATGGACGCGGCAGAAAAATTATCGTTGAAACAAATTTTGATATTAAAAATAAAAAGTTGACCAAATTAAAAGTAAATTACATAGTTATAATTGGTTCTTTTGTTATTCGTTTCCTGTCTTCACCACATATGAAAACTTTAGGTCCTTCTCTTAATGTAAATCTGGAAAGAATAATGAACTATAGTCAAAAGTCGAATGTGGTATATATAATTCTAACTTGGGAAAAGAGACTGTTCCTGACTAATATTAATTGTCATTGTGAAATAAATAGCAATTGAAATTGTCTTCTCTTTATTTTAAATGGAAATTTGGTTTCGGAGGGGCACAAAGACATGCAAGAAATGCGTACTTCTTCTCCGACATGGCTGCCCGAGATAACTTTTGCCTCCATGGCACGTCGTCTCGATGCTACGTTTTGATGTCTAGTAGCATTATACAATTCACCCTGCTGATCAACATTCCCCAACAACATAATTAGAGTACTCTTTTTAACTCCGTCTTATATAGTGGCTATCCAGAATATTTGGCACTATTGAGAAAATCAGGAGTGAATATTACGTATTCTAGCTAGCAATGATGTTTGAGCTTAAGTACACAACCTCTTCTTCTGGTAACTTGTTCAATAGGTGCTCATTTATGGTATCGATGACTGTATAGACTAGATTGCTATCATTTTTTATATACATATCCTCAGAAATTTTAGTTTAAGCAAAGCCACAATTTGTTTTTATGTTTGTATTTTTTGTGAATAGAAATTTTAAGTTTAATAATATTAATTTTTTTTATATACAAAATTTAGTTGTTATTGATAGAGCGCACATATATGTAATATATAAAAGTTTTAGATTTTTTCTACGGTATTATTTTGATTAGTTGTTTATAGGATAATATCATGTTTATAAAATTAAATTTTGTGGTTCCCAAATATAAATAGTTCAAAAGTACTACACCTTATAAACTACTTACTTTCCACCCCAATAAGATGCCTTAGTAATTGTTAAACCAATTTTATTTTTTTTTGGCTAACAGTCCCATCAGTTGAGGTGTCTTGGTCTCACTCGTTGAGGCGATTTAGTCGTTTGTCCCACTCATTAATGTGTTTTAATCATTATTAGAGTAGTCTTTTAACTCTTCATCAGATGCCCCTATCCGTTGAGTTGCCTTAGTTCTACCTGTTAAATTGCATTAGTGATTGTTAGAACAATTTTAATTTTTTTTAACAAATGTTATCAAGTCAATGTGAGGGAGACTAATGTCTTGTGGATTATTACTTAAGAATTCACTATGACGCACCTATTGATTTGTTCATAGGTTAGAGGGAGCCTAACCATTATTACCAAATGTAGATATGTGATATTTAGAAAGAAAAAACTTCTTTTCCAATTCTTTAATTATTTAATCTTTTTTCTCAATAAAGTGTACATCATCATTGGTATGATTTTACTTTATCATATTATTTTACATATCATATATCATGTTAATCTTACCATGAGAAAATATACATTATGTTTTTGTTTTACATCACTTTTCATTATTATAAACATATTATATTTTATATGTGTAACTTATTTAAAGATAAATTTCTCTGAGTCAGGTTTAACATATAGTTGTATAAACACAAAAATGTTAAGCATAAAAAGAATAGAACTTCCTCCGGTCTTTATCATAAAGTATTTTTAAAACAATTTTTTGGTCCGATTTATTAGATATTTAATGTCTTAAGATTTCATTTGTAGTGTATTTCCTACTTTTCCCCAATTTAAACTGTCTAAAATTTAAATTGAAATATAGACTACTTTTCCAAACCAAACAGCAGTAATATTATTTTTAGTACAACAAACATGACTATCGTTTCGGAATTGTTCGTATTATAATTACTCCCTATGTGTCTAGGGTGAGAATTGTATTATAAACATTGCGGATTTCAAAACTTAATGTAAATTATTTTTTTAGACAGCAAGAGTATAATGTAATTAATTAACTCGTTTATTTATTTATTTATGTGTCTTACACTATCCGTTTAATTTTTGCCCTTCAACCCGTTTATGCATAGTTTTAATTTGAATTATAAAGGCAGAACTATGATACTTTTTTCCTCAATAATATCATTCAACAATTGTTTTTTAGTTTTTACCCACTCATTACTTTGTTTGAAATGTTTTGCGTTCTCATTTAATCATCTATTTTACCTTAACTCTACCCGTTTAAAGAGATTTTGAATTAAAGAGATTTTGAATTTAAAATCTAATGGTCGATATATTTTCCGCCTTAATAACATTATCAAATTTATTGAAAATGACAATAAAATAAATCAGCTACAAATAATTATTTTAAAAAGGAATAATGTTCCGTGATGATCCAACTTTGATTGTCAAGAACAAAGCACAAAAATCTATAAGGCTATATTTGTTCTTTCTTTTTAGAGTTTTTTTTTTTTTTTTGGTTAGAAATATGAGCATATGTATTAAAAATATAAAAAGATGTATTGCAATAAAAAAACATAAACACTACTAAATACCAAAAAAAAGAATCCTTATAAAATCTTAATCTCCTTATTTATATTTGTAGAGTTTCCCAATGACACTAATCAGTTCCCCAATTCCAATATTAGATTTCTTTGGACAAATCCTCTTGATGTAAGTGTAGGGTTACTATGACATCAACAAAGCTTAAGCCAAAATAAAGAATTGCAAAAAAATTATCTCGCGCATTAGAATTCAAGAGGGAGTACTTGGACGACAATGACATTAGTAAATAATGGCAAAAATTCTGCCCGACCATTCTGACAGTACTGACGTGGTCATAAAATTCATTCGAAAAATAAAAATTTATTTATTTCTTACAATTTTCATCCAATTTAATTTTTCATTCAAATTAAAGTAGAGCATGCAACAATTACAAAATTCATTAATTTTGGTTGTAAAGAGAACCAATATACTATATGTATAGGAGAGGTTTTTTTAAAAAAAAATGTAAAACACCTCTTAATGTTCAACCTGAAATATATGAACACTTATTTTTGGTTGTCTAATCAAAGAAAGAAAAACAAAATACTTATCTGACCATAAGCAAATATAAAATTAATGAAAGATCCCTCGCATCAGAAACAATGCTCAAAGTTCGTGTGTAATGTTGAAGGAATCTCGTATTTTCTCACTAAATTTTTCATCTTTTGAAGGCGTTCTATTTTATAATTATGCTTATGCTGTTCAACCTTTCATGAAACAAAAAGAGAAAAAAAGAAAGAGAAAATGCCGTAGTAGAAAATATGAGGAAGTGTTATTTGAGAGATAGACTAAATCTCATAACTTATGATAATCATTCTAATTTTGTTCTCTCAATATAACAAATTTGTAGAGATAATTTACAAAAACGGTCATGTGCAAAATCTTGTTTATTTGAAGAAATTCCATACGCCAAAAGAAAACTTTGTACCAGAAATTATCAGGATTTAAAGGCATGTTAAATACCTAAATAGAAATTATGCAGATGATACTAATGACAAAAAATAGAAAAAAAATTTACATAATTGAATAAATGCTATAAAATAATATTAAAAGGCATCCTTTTTCGTACCAATAAGAATGTAAATGCATAACCAAAAGAAGAAATCATCAAAAGAGGAAAACCATGTCAAAATGATGCTAAACACATCGTCATTGTGAAAGAAACCATCATCCTTCATCCACTTCTGCACCAAAAAAAGAACAACAACAAAAGAAGATATCAAATCATTAAATTTGAATTGGAAAAAAAAATTCTCCGGATTCAAGCTAGAGTATGATGGTGATGCCCTTTTATAGTATTACTTACCATAATTTTTACAAAGAGTACGATAAAATTAATGTCAGTGGAATGAAATGACAAATGAGATAAGAAATTAATGTTAGTTATATTCAAATTCGAATACTATCCTCATTGAAAATTTGAATCCGTATCTTAGGTATCTATTGGATTTGTTTTTAGAAATCTCTGGGGATTGTGACAATTCATAGTTAATTGGAATTACTAGATGGCTAAATTAGTTAGAATAATGGGTTCAAAGCTGAAAGATATTTGTATTAGATGAGATAAGGTTGACCTGAAATAAGTTAGTTATAATCTTTTAAGGTTAATAGTAATGTAATTTAAAACTTTAAACTGTGGTTTGAGTTTCAATTAAGGATCTGTTTCGATTGAGTTCTGAGTGGAGCTGTTTTTGTTGGATGTTTTTTTCTTTTTTAATAAATAAAAAAATAGAGAAAATTCCTAGTCCTACGTGGCAAGTAGAAAACTATCCCAATTTCCTCTCTCTGTGTTTTTGATTATTAAGTTATATAGATAAATTAGCAAAAACTTAATAGTGACGAAAAGTTGTGACCCCTCATAGTTCAGGGACCAAAAATACATTTTGTTAAAAAAAAGGCCAACCCAAAATTTTTTGGTGCTTGAGTTAAATAATTCCCTAAAAAAAGAAGTGGCTAAAAATAGTTTATGAATGGGAGAGTCGCCATAAATATGAACATTGGATTTCCGAAATCCGATTTTAGAGTAATATCGGATTTCAAAAATCCGATTTTATTCATATTCAAAGTTAAAATAAGATATCAGAAATCTCATATTCATACTTTCGGCCGTTATTCTTTAATTATTTTTTAACAATTTTTATTTCTTTGATTATTTTTTGGCGAAAAACTCCCAAAATTTTATCGGATGTCCCTGAAGGGACGCCCAGCCAAAATAATATGAAGCCCAATTATCAAATCATCAAGGTTAAATATGTCAATTGCTTCAAGCGCTCCCGTATTCGCCTTCTCAATTTCATCGCTCACAGTGTCTCTCTCACACGCACTTGTAAAATAAAAGGGAAAAAAAAACTGAAAAACCCTAAAATCTCACTCTACCCGTCCCCGATTTTCAGTGTTGTTTCCGTATTTTCTCTTCTGTGTTTTTTTCGTTGTTGGATTTGTGTTTTGCTGATGCTTGTTTTTGTGTCTTGTGATTGAAACTAGGGTTTAGGTTAAAGCTTTTTGGTGGTTGTCCAGACCATCACGGCCCGCATTCAGTGATTCTTACTGTAAGTACTCAGTTAACTTTGGTTTTTTTTTTATTTTTTTTTTTATTTTGGGGTTCGTCTCTGTTTTGGGCAATGATTATTTTGCTATCGATGTTATTTCGGAATCACGAGTTATTTCATACTTTTGGCTCAATGTTCTTGTTTGAGCTGATAAATGGTTGTTCGGGGGCTCATTGGGATTTTTTTATCCCCTGAAATTTTGATCTTTTCGTCCCTGAAATTTGGGTTCTTTTGGTTTTTCTTTCCCTCGTATATGGTGTTCAGGGAATAAAATTATCGAATTGAATGATATCGTGGTTATGTATTAGTTTTTAGTTGTGTCTTTACATGTTTCAATATCTCTGCTTGATTCAATTGCAGAACTTCAACTTGGGTAGTGATTTATTTGTGATAAAGGATGCCTTTTGTGGTTGGGTTTTCTTTTGCTTCATAGAGTCTATTTACTCTTTAGCATGAAGTTCATGGACGAAGTTAATATAAGAGGATGCAGGGTCTTAATTTCACCTCATTGAAGTTCTAAATATGTGCATAAATTGGGTTTCCTGTATTTTGAAAGTTGTTTGGGATTCTTGTCATCATTTTAAATATATGAAATTGATGATATTAGCTGTGCGTTTTTTGCTGTTATAGTTATAGTTTGTTTCTGTGCCAAGTGAAATCTTCCCAAAATTCTTCAAGTTGGCATATTCCTTATAGTATCTACTTGAAATGCTCTGAGCAGGGTGGTTCGTACTCAAGAAGGGTTTTTTGAGACTAGCGAAATGTCATCACCATATCCTGTTCTTGGAGATCGGCCAATCGATCAATGGAAGGTCACTGAACTAAAAGATGAACTGAAAAGACGTAAGTTGATGACAAAGGGATTGAAAGAGGATTTAATTAAACGGTTGAATGAAGCCATTCGGGACGAGCAAGAAAGTCGGAATGAAGAAAATAGTTTTGGTTCAGTTCTTCAATCAGAGACTTTATCTGATGAAACAGCCGGAGTTACTACCTGTGGAAAAGCTGAAACTATTAGTGTTAGGGAGACAGTTACCGATGAGAGACATGTAGATTCGCGTTCTAAGGTCACCTATGAACAAGAACAAGAAAGTGGCAATCTGTCTGTTTCAAAAAATTCCAAAGACGCAATTGAAGATGTCAGTCGCAATATTCCTGATGTTGATATCAATAATGATGCAATTGAAGACGAGCCTATTGATGAGGAAGTTAGAAAGGGTGAAGTCATGGATGGCTCTGATGCTACTGGGTTGCAAGATAATTTTGTAGCACAAGTTTCTGCTGGGGGAAGCAGTGACATGATCTCCGAGGATTTAGAGTCTGCAATAGCTTCAAAAGGAGAAGTCTTGCTGGATATGGGATCCCAAAACATGATTCCAGACGGGAAGGCTCTGCTGGAGGATGACAACTCGAAACCTTTGCATTCCGATGCTAACGTCGATATATCTGATACGAATACCCAGGTATCTGAGGTCAATCATGTTTCAGGGTTTCAAGTAAAGTATGAATCTGTTACTACTGAAACTATCTTGATTATAGGAAAAAATGAGCTCAAGGATGATGTAAATGTTGATGATGTCAAACTAGAACAGGATGTTAAGCCTGAGCTTGTGCAGCCATCCTTCAGTAGTGATATCCCCAAGGATGGCAAATCACATCCTGTTGCTGTGGAGGAGCCACATGATAATAATGCTGATGGTGTGGATGATAGGCCCAAAATAGATACTGAGGATTTAAATTCTTCAGGAAAGGGGAATTTAGACCAAAATTCTGGTGACGATTTCATGGATGAAGATGTGACAGAGACTAAGCTAATGAGTGCAAAAGTTGTTTCTGAAGAAATGACTGATGAAGGAAAACTTGAAGAGTCTGTTCTAAAGGATGGTCATGTTGACATTGTGAGAGGAGATATATCTGATCAGAAAAAAGTATCTAATGCTGAGGAAAATGAGCATCCTGGGACTCCGTTGGTGAAAAGAAAGTTTAATGGTGAGGTTCAGATTTTGTTTTATTTATACTTCCATTTTTGCTTTGTTTAATTTTGTGCACATATATACCAATTGAAGTCTTTATTTGCGTTCTCCTGGTAGATCTTATATATCTCTTTGCATTGCTTCTCTGACATTTTCTATTTCATTCTTTTAATTTTTACCTTTGAGATTCATGAATTCTTGCATCAATTGTAGAAGCAAAGCTAAAACTCCTGGTTTTTTGTAACTTTGTTCTGATGGCAATGAATTTCATACGTCTCTCCTCGTCCCCTCACTGTCCTTCGTTTACCTGTACTTCTCTTGGTGGTAATGAAACAAGAAATTCCTTGGAATACTGTTTTTTTATGAATGCTTGCATCAGTTATATACCGTGGGAGAGAGAGCTTGCTTAAGTTTTTAATGTTGATGTAGTTTTCGTTGCCAGCTATTTGGCGACAGTAATTTATCTCGTTGAGGATTTTTCAGTGTAAATCATGAGTAAGAATCTCCTTGCTAAGTGTTGCGGTGAGTGTTGTGCGCAAGAATAGACGTGTGTCTTGTAGGAATTTATGTAATTAGGTATGGTTAGGATACCTCCTGAAAATATTTTGAATGGGTAGGCATATTTGTAAGATTGAGGTAACAATGGATAAACTGGCGCTTTTAGTGTTGGCTATGCTTGTTATGAGGTACTTCTGTTGATGTTATAATAACCATGTTTATATACAGGTCAACTTGCAGTTGGGAATACTGATGTCGTGAAAAGGCAGCGACGCTGGAATTCCGGTGGTCCAAAAGCAGCCGAGGCACGGACTGATGATGCTGTTTTGACTAGCCCTAAGAACTCCTTCCAGCCAGCATTCAAACGCAGTTTTTCTAGGTCTGACTCATCAGTTAGTGTGGAAGTGCCTAAAGAACGTGTTGGTGAGTAGTCCTTGATATCTTTTATATTTTATCTGTACATTTGTGGGCTGAAGTTGCTGAAACTATACAATGAGATTTACGGAATACATGGTATATTAAAAATGGTCTCATATCAGATTTTGAATTCCATACTGTGTTTTGAACTCTGCCTGATGTTTTTTTTGAAACTGAAGTATCTTCCCTTTAATTTGGTTTATTTCTGTTACAGTCCCACCGCCAGCAAATCCTCCTACCAATTCCCTCAAAATTGATCGTTTTCTGCGGCCTTTTACGTTGAAGGCTGTTCAGGAGCTTCTCGGCAAAACTGGTACTGTCACCGACTTCTGGATGGATCAGATCAAAACACATTGTTATGTCTCTGTAAGTTATCTGATTTTCTAATCTTGGGTTGAGAATGTTCTTCAGGGATAGCTCCATATACCCATACCTTGAGCTTTTATTAAAACTTCACATAGTTCTTTTCAGGTACAAAAAAAATCTCGAATTGTAAAAGTAGTTTTCCTTTCCAAATTATTGCTTATGTTGGGCAACAAAATTGAACTTTTTGACTAAGAAGCAACAATGAAAAGATGTGCATGCATTTTACTGAAGTATTTTTAAGATACCTTTACACTTGCGCATTAGAAATCAGATGTGTTGGGGATGATAAATATGGTTGTAGGATTTGTGTAATAATCACATTGTTTTGTTGGGTTTTCTTTGCAGTATTCATCTGTTGAAGAAGCTACAGAAACTCGAAATGCTGTTTACAACTTGCAATGGCCTCCAAATGGTGGCCGCTTGTTGGTGGCTGAGTTTGTTGATCCCCAGGAAGTTAAAGTACGAGTAGAGCCTCCTCCGCAATCTCCTGCCCCTCGAGCAAGCCCAGGTGCTAGTTCCTTGCCCGCTGCTCAGGGTGGGCAAACCCAACCCCCTCCAAGGCCACAGGTTTCAAAGCAACAATTACAACAACCTCCTCCTCCTCCACCAACATTGTCTAATCCACCGGCTGTTAGGGAACAGGTCCGGCCTCCTGCAAGAGAACACCATCAGCCTATTAGGGAACGGCTCACCCTTCCCCCACCCCCTCCACTTGCTGAGAAAGCTGAGCCCCCAATTTTGACATTGGATGATCTCTTTAAGAAGACTAAAGCAACCCCGCGCATCTACTATTTACCCCTTTCTGATGAACAAGTTGCAGCAAGGCTCCCGGCCCGGGGGACTGTTGACAAGCAGTAGAGCTTAGGCTGTTACTTATACCAAAGCTGCTCTTCGATTTCTAATGGTCTCTCGAGAATGTAAAATAACGGTAAGAATGTATCACGTGATTGCATCTTTGCAGGTATGCAGGTTTTGCTCGTAGGATGTTCACATTAGAGTGGTCCTCGAGGAGCCAGTTCGATGATGGTTTTCTGGTTCCAGAAATCTATTGGGTTGAGGTTAAGTTGACATTGGAATTTACAATGCCTGTTCTCTTAATTAGGTGTCGATGTTAGACCTATTTTGTTCGGGTATTGTTCCATGCAACAACCACCAAATGCATCGTCGTATTCTCTAGCAGAGTGTTATTGTTAAAGGATGTGGATGATGTATGGATTTCTTCGTACTCATCAGTTCATGCAAAACTGCCGCCTTTCTTATTGTTTCTTTGTTTATTTTATTTTCCAATTTTTTTTTTCTTTCCCAGATCAATATTAGGATCCCTTACTCGCTTATTGCTGATGCTCTGCTGACAGTATTACTCCTACTCTCTTAAAATTAACACTGAACGTTTAGAAAACATCGTCATTAATTTGCAGTAACTTAGTAGGCCTCACATGAATATAATATTGTAGGGATGGTTTACTCCCAGACTGTAGTAATTTAGATGACAAGGGTTTAGCCTCTTTCTTATTTTCGTAAAAAATTAATAAATGTCTGTCATTAGTATTTCTGTTTTGGTACTGAACATTATTATGAGGTCTGATTCTGAAACGGACTTCTAAGGATGTATGAACACATAAGCATGCACCCAAGAGAGGCGCATTTCTATATTTGAGATTAAAACTCTTCAACTTTAATATATGCATAAGATATTTATTTTGTGCATAAATTCTAAACCGGAGAAATTTCTGTATACGATTAGTGATCACATGAGAAATAAAAAGACATTTTCGTGTTTGGATTTGGACTCTTCTTGGCTTTTAAGATTGACACAACACATAATTATAACGTATAATTGTTTAAAATGATTTCATAAGATTAGAACCGTGCAGTTTTAAGATTAGCAAAGAGAGAACCGTCACTTGGGATGCAAGATTACCAAAAACACAAATTACCTTATTTAAAGTTTGTAAGTCCTTTAACTTTAAGATGGACATTAGAGTTAAGATTTTTTTTTTTTTTTTTATTTAGATACAAAAGAAGAGGATTAGGGTTACAAAATTGAAATAGAAGTATAATGTATTATTACAATTATTAAATATTCATTGCAAGGTATAATTTTAAGACGGAATTTATACAATGGTCGAACAATTTTTTTAAGATTAATATAATGTATATAGGACACAATTAATTTGTTCAGTTTGTGCTTAGCACCAAAAAACTAAGTGAAAACGCAACTGTAATAACAGTAACATTAAGTCCTCCTTCCCCCTCCCACCCCCGGCGAGACAAGGTTTTATCTATTTAGACAAACAAATAAATGCTAATAATAACATATATAAACGGAGAAAAAAAACCCGACTGAGGAAAACTCTCTTTTAAACTTTTGCCTTTCTGCAACTCTCCCTCTCTTTCTTTCCATCTTTCAGCGCGGCATCCTCGTTTTCTCTTCCGCAGAACTCCGTTAAAGATAGGTTTTTTTTTTTTTTTGGGAATTTCCGTCTATTTATTGAGCTTCGCCGGCCCAGTTAATTAAAAGCTGTGTGGCTCTGGTTCTGGATTTCATTCTTTAACGGCACTGGAAAAGTCAGCAAATTTGCCCCAACTGGGATTTTATTGATTCTTCCGCATTGAGGGCCTTGCTTGTTTTTTTTCTAGGGCTCTTTGGGATTGAGCCCTTCTTCTTGGCCAATGCTATTGATGAGCTTTTCCCAAAATTTGCATCAGTTGGTGCTTAACTTTCGCGCTCAATTGGGTAAGTTCTTGGAAACCCTTTGCCTTTTTTTAATTATTATTATTATTTTTTTTAATCAGCTCAAAAGATTGCATCTTGTTTACAGGTTTCAACCTCTTTTTTTTTTTTTAATGATTCAATTACTATCAGCTGTGGTTTCTGGCTTACTGAATCATGGTTTCAATTTGCTTTCTGATGTGCTGGTTGCAGGAGGGCTGTTTTTTTGCTGTTGTCATGAATAGTGTGTTCTCCGAACAGTTACTTGCTGAGAAGCTTTCAAAGGTCAATAGCTCTCAGCAATGTATAGAGAGTATCCTACATTAGTTTTCTGCTTTCTATCTGTTGATTTTTGAATCTGATTGATGTGATTAATTGATTAGTTTGTTTTTTTTAAGAGGGTTAATTGTTATAACTTATGCAGTAGACTTTTTTCTGTTGTCCTTTTACCAGGAATTTGTTGTTCTTTCAATACTTGGTGGTATAATGAGTAATTGCTGTTGTGGGAATCGGTCATGTTTATGAATTGATTATTCTAGGGTTTTTGTTCTCTACTCCCAAAATGTCCCATTATGAAGGACATTTACTCTGCCTCCTCTCAGTCAAGATAGAACTACAAGTATCTTTACTTTCAGTTGGTACATGATGATAATATATAATGTCTTTCTGGATTTCTGGCAACTTTTCTATTCGAAGTTTTTGTCGTTCTTGAGGGTTTTAGTTACTTGTTGAAAGCCTTAAAATTTGGCACTGGTGAATATGGCCGTCCACCAGGGAAACTAAGACGTAATTACCTCTATCTCGGATAGGTCTTTTTTTAATTTTATTTTTATTTTTTTGTTTCCAAACAAGCGCGTCTTCCTATGTTTTGTCTTATGTACATTTTCTTCTGAATTTGGAGTTTGATTTTAATGGCCAAGCTCTTTGAAATTGTTGTGCAATCAGTAGGTTGCCTGCAATTAATCACTGGAATCTCTGAGGATTTGATCGGAGGAAAGTGATTAAAATTTTAAAGGAGATACAATGGACATTTATAATGATATATCTAAGAGGTTTTAGTAATACTTGCTGCTTAATGCTATATTTTGGTTGCTTCTAGACCTATCTTGCCCATTCCATGAGCTCAATTTCAGATGGAAATGTATGGGATTTAGTTAGAGTTGAAGAGGATCGAAAGGTGGTAGACGACAGGCATAAGCTGAAGTGAACATTCAAGAGTTTAGTTTGTGCCATTGTAAATAGAAGAGGGTAGCTGAATGGATGTAAATAGCCTTTCCAACATTCTGCTTTAGGGGTCTTTCTTGTGTTCACGTGTTTAAGAATTGAACCTGAATCCTTCTGCTTGAGATCAAGCCTTCTTAAAGGGGTCCTTGACATTGAATCACTTGTTTTATAAAGAACGAGGAGATGAACTTGATCTATACTCTAAACTTTATTTTCCTGGAAGAGATTATCCTGTTCGATTGTGTTGTGCATTCTTTTCCAATTTATGAGCCAGCTTTCATTTATCCCACTGTTCGGTGCTTGTCTGCTTTAATAGTGTTGCACCTATTTTAACCCCTATTTACAGATTCTTAAATGTAATCCATTAATCAGTTCTTTGACCTTGTAATGCTTGCCTCTTTGGTCCACTACTCCTAGTTTACGGGTTTCATAATTTCTCTGATAGCGGGTGTTGCTGTTTACAAACATTGTGTACCTTGACCTCTGTTTTCAAAAGCGTTATCACATTGGTGCATTTTTCACCGTAGTAAAGCAGAGCAGGTCGTTGCAACATGGGAGAAACAATTTCATTGTTCAGAAATGACTCATAAAGTTCCACTTCTATATCTTGCAAATGATATCTTACAGAACAGCAAGCGTAATGGGAATGAGTTTGTTACTGGATTTTGGAAGGTTCTTCCTTCTGCACTAAAAGACATAGTCGAGAAAGGTGATGAACGTGGGAAGAAGGTGGTCTCGCGATTGGTAAGTGTGATATTTTCGTTCTTATTGAAATGGTTTGGAACGTATTCCTATCAATACTGGTAAGATCCAAGAGATAAAGGTTCCGTATGAAATGTGGTGTATGTTTCATGTCTTGGTCCAATTGCTAATGCTCCTTACTATATTTCGGTTGCAACTTCTTGATTATATTCAAAGGTAAAACTAGAACCAAAGTCCTGCCCACACAGATTCTAAAGTTTGTAGGCTGGCCCCTGCCCGTGTTCTCTGTACCATTTCCAGAGAAGTGGAATACTATATCTCTAATGGGCAAAAATTTTTGAAAGACTTATTTATCTTTTGTTAATAGTAATATCACTTACTGACTTAGGGTAAAAGTCAATTACCAAGCAATCAGAAACTAGTTTTGCACATTTCGGTGCAATAATGCAACGATTCTTTATGTAATGTGATGAATGTGATTTTTATTTCATTATATGTTCTCTGCGAGTTCCACTGTAGAATTAGCATCAGTCAGTTGATTTTTTCTGTGGTTATCTATTCTTTTGGCTGATTAGCAAGTGTTCTCTTGATGCACCTGATTGTGCTATTTTGATAATTCATTGATTCATATTCTTCCAACTATAGGTTGGCATATGGGAAGAAAGGAAAGTTTTTGGCTCTCATACAAAAAGCCTCAAAGATGTTATGCTTGGAGAAGAAGCACCAGCACCTTTGGAATTTGGAAGAAAACGTTCGCGTTCAGTTCGGATAGTCAAAAGAGATTCAAGGTCCATAAAGACGGTGAGTGTAATAATTTAAATTCTACACACTGTCCCGGCCTTTGCACCTGTTTTGTTTCTAGTCTATCTCTTATTACTGCTTAACAGACTGACACTGAATATTCTCTTGGTAGCAGAAATTAACTGTTGGAGGCACAGCAGAAAAGATTGTCACAGCTTTTCACCTCGTCCTGAATGAACAAATCAGTGAAAGTGAAGAAATGAATAAATGCTCGTCTGTGGTGCACCGAGTGAGAAAGATGGAAAGGGATGTTAATACGGCTCTTAGTAAAGGTATGCAGAATGATCTCTTCTAATCTCAGATACCCTTACATCAAGGATATTTTTTGTGCATCAAATTTTGACTCAGCACTAACTGCAGTAAAGGATCCAAAACGTCTAACATTGGCCAAAGAATTGGAAGACGAAGAAAATCATTTACAACAGTCCCTTGATAAACTTAAACTTACTGAAGCAAATAGAGAGGCTCTTGTATCTCAGTTACGGGAGGCACTTCAGGAACAGGTAAAAATTGATTTACTTCAGTCTTCGCCTCAGAATTTGTTTGACATTAAGAGTCTTTGTAACATTTGCTAATGGTGCACTTCTGTTATTTTTTGTTTTCTTTAGGAAGCTGAGCTTGAGAATGTTCGCACACAGATGCAGGTTCGGATTATATTCACTTTACGTATTTATCTTTTTATCGAGTTATATTCACTTTACGTATTTATCTTTTTATCGAGTATATGATTTTTATTCATTATCTTGGTTATGAAGCTATTCTCTACCATGTTGTTATTCTCTCCCAAATTTTAATATACAGTTGTTCAACACGTAATGAATGTTTGTATCCCCAGATATGCAGTTACAAATTATCAGAATGATATCAGCTTTACGAAATCTAGTTGAATGAGATGTTCTTACAGTGGTATTTATTTTAATTGCTGAATAGAGTCTGTTTCTGTGCCAGGCTAGTTTCATTATGACATTCTTGCTTTTGATTTTTGAAGGCCACTGAAATAGGTTTTTCTATTTTGTTTTATAATTTTTTGGATTGGATCTTAGTATGAGCTTAAGTGCCATAAGACATACAGTGTTGAGTTCCTTTGGCATAAGACTGTGAGATCAAAGTAGTGTTTAAGTTTATTGAAGAGGAAAGTTGTGAATATACATCGATATTTTATTGGAAGTAATTTCTCAAGGAGAGATGTTCATTAGGTACAGGTAATTTGCAAGTTGGGTTGGGAGGTCCTTGTGTCCTGGTATATTTCATAACTACCATGAATTTAGAGCATTTGACATATTGAAGGAACTTTTTTATCTCAAGAATTCTGTTCAGTAGTGATGTGTCTCCAGCTTCCAGAGTTGACCATTCTACCTGGTCAATGGAATTTACATAAAATAGGTCTTCAGGGTGATGTGATGGATTGTTTGAGATGTAAAAAAATCTTTTAAAATGTGGAATTTGCATAAATTGTATTCTATAGTATGTTATATTGTTAGTTGATGGAAAAATGGCGATTGAAAAATATACAAAGAAGGTGATCTTGGAGTAGCTAGTGAAAGGATCAGATGTCAAGGACATCAATAGCTAATGGCCATGCAATTTAAGGTGCCTGTCAAATGACTACCTGCATTTTAATAGAGGGACACCTTTTCTTTTATGAAATGATAGGTTGAAGGTCATCTTTACTCTCTGCATTTTGTTTCTTTTGGTTCCAAAACTATGATGGGGGGTTTTTTAATAACTTTCTTTTTATTTTTTTTATTTTTTTGGGATTTCATCACACCCCGGGGGGTTTTTTAATACCTATATCTACAGATCACTATGAATATATTTTGTATGTTCCAAAAGATAAATATTGCTTGTACCCGTCATTGGAGGAAACGTTCAAATTTGATAAATGCAGATGTTCTCTGGAACCTAAAATTTGTTATTTTTGTATGTTTTCTTTTTCTTGTTTTGAGAAGCTTGGCCTGCTTCTGGATCACAGTGGATTAGTACAATTGTTTCTTGGTTCTGAACTTCTGATACAACATTATCTACGCACTTTGCATTTAATATAACTCTTATACTAATAAATTCATGGTTGTCTTGAATTGGGTCATAAAACTGATAATGTCTGGTGTGTAAGATGGTAGTTTTGCTAGTTAATTCTGCTTCTACCACCTTAGCATCGGAAGTCATGTATTCTCTGTTGCTAAGTATGTTGGCGATGGTAGAATTTGAACTCCATGTTGAGGAGCCTTTCTTTACCCAGCTAAAAGCTACCAAATGTTCAATATTAATGAATCCCTTTTGTGAATAAATTTGAATTGTCTTTGCCTTGGGTCACAACGGAAACAGCCTCTTTATATAATTACAAGGGTAAGGCGGCGTACAACTGACCCGCCAGACCCCAACTTGTGTTGAACTGATTTTAGAGACGATTTGCCTGGTTTTGGAGCGTCGCCAAGTTGTGTTTTCCTCAGAGAAGTGTTTCTGCTCTGACATTTTTTAACATGCTCTGTTTCTTTTTATGAAACCTTAAAATTGGTAGTGTTTGTTGATTTCCACTTTCGTGTTTGATGATATATTTTTGAATTTGGTCATCAAACAATCTCAAAACATAGTTCGTCCATTGTAATAGTGATACCGTATTCCCTTGTTTTCCAGGTAGCCAAAGCACAGCTGGAGCAAGCTGGTAACATGAGGAAGTGCCTACTTGATGAAAATTATGTTGCGGATTCAAAATCTTCATTCAGCACTGCTTCAAATGACGCAGCTTCAAAGGCAGGGCAAACAAGCAAAAAACCAACTGCAGCTGAGGTTGCAGACAGGCTTGCAGCTTCGACATCCTCTCAACATATTATCACATCTGTCCTTTCTACCTTCGCAGCTGAGCAGGCAAAGAGTGCTGGGTTGATGAAGTCGGCCTCATCCACTCCATCCTCAGTGCCAAATAATGCAGGCAACAATGCGGTAATGCAGCAAGAGGTTACGATGCCACAAACTCCACAAAACAACCTTTATCAAATTCCAGTGGCGGCCATGCAGGCCCAGATGGCCAACCCTCAGCAGCAATATGTGCATTCACACCCTAATCAATCTTCACAGCAATATGTGCAGCTAGCAGGAGCTGCAAGCTCGTATCCATATGGCACCGTTCCTCCATTGCCTTCTGGTCCACCTCCACCGCCGCCCCAAAATTTGCCTTACATGATGGCCCCTATGACTCAGCAACAACTACAAATGAGTCAGCAACAGCATCTGACTTCAACTCACCAACCAATACTAATGAATCAGCAACAATCAACTTCGTTACCCCTACAACCGATGCCCAGTTTCCGACCAGTTACTCCTCTACAGCCACCTGGAATGGTATACTATGCTCCTCCTCCTCATTCACACTGACAAATAATGTTGGCCACATCAAGCTAGAAAGATTCCCAGGTGCAGTCTTGAGATTTGTGAAAAATTTCATATTGAAAATGGTTTTGTTGTGATACATAGATAGGTCTCATGATAGTGTGCAGGTAGAGTCAGATCATAGAGCATCTGGTAGAGAAGGCTTCTTTGTTTCATTGTCTCATGTTTCTGCCTTAGTTCAAAGCTAACCTAATGGAAATCGCCTGTTGTACTCAAATTTGCTTGTCTTTAGTGATTCCTCCCCCAAGCCCCAGGAATTTTTGCTACACAAATTTTCCTAAGGATACAATTTTGAATTAATACTGATAAATTTTAAGTTATTTTTTGGGTCCCTTTTGAATCTTGCTTTTCCTAATCCTATGCATTATCATGGGTGCCGTCCCTATAGACCGTTTACATTCAACAGCTAGTTACATATCTGCTTTTCGACAAACATATAAGCCTGACCATGGATGCATGTTCCTATTTGGGGGCCAAAGGGAGGATGTAACAGGAAAAGTTGGTTATTCATCCCATTAATCATGTAGCACCAATTATATAGATCTGATTCATGATTGTGCTTGTTTATAACGAGGTAGGCTGCAACAAAAACTTTTCTTAATTTAATATACTCACATTCAACCCTACTCGTTCATAAAGGGCAGTGCCAGAACAAAAAGCTTTTGTTGATTTATACTAACATTCAACACTTCATTGCTTTCCGGAGAATAAAATCTTTAATAAAGAGAGGCAGGTGATACATGATTGCCATTATTGTAGAGAATTGGGCAGTGGAATACCAAGCCGGGGGATCCTCCTTTAGTATTCGGCTAACGGTTTTCTTTGCAAACACTTCAGCTGGCATTGCTCTCTTGCCCTGTGAACTATAAGCTCTAGCTCTGATTGCTTCTTCGTATCGCTTATATATCTTCCATTCGGGCATTTGACTGTAATTAGCAATTGCAGATTCTGCTATGTTTGATCTCACCGCCCCTGGAACTATGTTTACAACTTTGATTCCAAATGGCTGAAGTTCCAATCTGAACGAAATTAACAGTGAAAATCCTGGTAGAGAATTAATATGCAGACCTCGTATACATCAAAACAATTCATATATGTTTTTCAAGAAAAATCATAATGAAGACGAAGCTGAAATTCACACAATTGAAGAGATTGTTATACATGAGTAACTTCGGCAATCAACAAAGGATGAGTTCATGATACGTTTGTCCAGTAGTTAAAGAGTATTTCTTGATTCTCACAGGTAAAAAGTAAATAAAATCATTCAAGAAAAGGATAAACATATCACAGCTACACCTCACTTTGTGGAATTGACTTCGTGCATCACTGTTGTGTAAAAAGTCATAAAAAAGGCAATTTCACTTGAACAAAACCTTAACTTTACAGAGTCGAAGCTAATACTCTGTTGAAGCACATGTTTCAACCAAATGCATTAGGTTTTGAACTTCTGATTTTCACAGGATTCCCTGGAACTGTAAATCACAAATCATATGTCAATGCTGTTTTTCCATTCCATCAAGAGGCTCAACAAATGCTGCCTTATCAGCCTATTCAGATAGGAGGCAAAGAAATAACATTCCATGTTTGTTGAAAAAGAAGATTTGGGTAGAATAGTGTATTCTCATTTCGATGCTATACCAAGCAGGCAAGAACAATGGAATCTAGGAAAGGAGCATAGGGTTTTCGTGTAGCAGATATTTTGGCAAGAACATCATTCAGCCTTCATTGATAATGAACAGTAATTATGTGAGTCAGAAATTCCATGATGTGTTTACTTACGAAGGTTTAATCCAAGAATCGAATTCAAAGGGACTATATTTGAAATTAGGAAGAAGAATTTAATCTCAATACCAAGTCCCCAGCTAGGAACGAAAGGCACCCCAATTGATCCAGGAAGATTTATAGAAGTTCACTCCACTGTCCAGTCCCAAGATCACTAGACTGGAAAGCAGAGTGAGCACAGGTAACATTTCCATCAAGCTAAAATCAGCCTATTGCTGAGCAAACATTTCTTGAACTTTCTTGGGAAGCTTGGACTCAATGTTAGAAGCTGGCAATGAAAGTTATTTGGCATCACATTTTAGGAGTAAAAAACACACTATAACAGCTACAGTTTAAGAAACAGGAGTAACCAAAAGCCCATAACCACAGAAGTGCAGATACTGATGCAGGGGACTCGGTGGATACTAAATTTATTGCTTTATCATTCTCACAATAGATTTTGTTCAGTTTAAATTCTCCTTTTCCATTTTTAGGTTGGATAACAGGGCAAAAATGGAAGGTAATCATCTTATGTCCCACCAAAAAAAAGAACAACTCAATTCAAAGGAGCACAAAGTTTTGAGCAAACCTCAAACTATCAGTCAATGCATGGATAGCAGCTTTTGATGAAGTGTAAACTCCTGCCCAGGGTCCAGGGGCAAGGACGGTAACACTTCCGACATTTACTATCTTTCCTTTCCTCCTCAACTGCATGTGAGGAACTACAGCTTGGATCAACCTCAGGGAACCTGTTCCAGAACAAGTAAGGCATTATCAACAGATACGGGTAAGGAAATCCACTTTAAGGATGGAAATAAACGCTTGTAGGTTACAACAACAACAACAACAACAAGCCTTTTTCCCACTAGGTGGGGTCGGCTATATGGATCATATGTCGCCATCGTGCTCGATCATTACATAAATCATCTCTCAAATTTAAATATTTCAAAAAAATTATAAGCAAATAATACTTGTATAGTTCATCCCATATGATGTTGAACACCAAAAACACACTAGCCATTAGGCTGCTGAGAGAGAAAAATTAATTCATAGAATAATGAAGCAAAGAGATAGACTGTTATAAATGATGAATTGATCACCATCAAAATGCATCAGTCACACCATTGGACTTAAGCAGAGTAGGATAAAGTCATTATGTTCTGCTCATGAATTAAGAACTGTTCCAACAAGTCCAGATGATGTTATCTACTTAATGAAAACTTATCAGTGCAAGATGCAAAAGAATGTGGCCCATATTTAGAGGCCTCATTTGTGAATAAAAGTTGCTTGAAGGCATTGTCATAAAGTTAACATGAAAATAGAAGATTTAGGAAATGGTTTTCTTCCAAGTAGTTGACATCATGCCGTAAAATCTAGAACTGCCGGTGCATCTCGAACTGATTATTCTCTATACAACACCGCAGGATTTTTGGCAAAAGTGGTCAAAAGTGCAACTGCTGGTATCTGAAAGTTTCCAAATTTCAAGCCTTATGTATTTTAGATCAATTTCCAATGACATTCGCCAGGGATTTAAATTGCAGCACACATTTTGAAGCTTTCACACTCTTAGATGACAGAATCTTTCTCAGAAATAGAGAGACTACACCGAGATGATACATTGGGACCTTTCAAATCTAAAATAATCACCTAATCGGAAGCTAGTAACCGTGACTAGTTTCATGGCTAACAAAAGGGTTATTTCATAAGTGCATACAAGAGTTCCAAAGCATATGATGCATTATCGTAAACAAAACACAACATATCTTCCAATTCGCGTTGTGCTGCAACAGTACTCTAAACCAATGTGTCTCTGTGTTCGGGTCCCTTTGTTAAAGGAAACTGAAGATTAGTTTGTGTCAGCGCAATGGAATTTAGCTTTGGTGATTAGCTTGTGACCAGTTTCTTTTTAACATAGGGACCTGAACACAGAGACACATTGGTTTAGAGCACTGTTGCAGCACAAGGCGAATTGGAAGATAAATTCCATTGCGCCGACACAAAACCATGCAACAAAACTTAGACTTCAGCAATATAGCTAATCGGATACTAACCAAACATGGAGGTGAATTTAGAATGTAGGGAAATGACAGAAACTAAGAACAAAGGCCAAGAGAATTGAAATTCAAACCAGAGGCAACCATCAAACACTTACCAAAAACATTAGTATCGTATGTTCGTTGAATAGAAGACAGAGGAACCTCAGCCAGAGGACCAAGGCACTGAATTCCAGCATTGTTCACAACGATATCAATCCGTCCAAACTTATCAAGAACATTGGAAACCACGCCGTTCACGTTTTGATCCGACAAGACGTCAAGTTCCTGAGGAAAAAATCGTGGGTTATCCAAAAAATCAGACATGGAAGCCAGTGAACGAGCTGTGGGCACAACAAGGCAGTCCTTGGCTGCGAATTCTCGAGCAAAAGCATGCCCAATTCCACCCCCAGAACACCCAGTAATAATCACTACTTGTTTATCATCATCATCACCCATCTGGGCTGCTTTTGCAATTTTAAAGTTTCCTCCTTTTCCCTTATCTTTTTGTAAAGAAAATTGCGGTGGAATGGTGATGCAATCGTTAGGTGTAAGCTTAGCAGTTGGCAGCCAAAACCTGAGAGAATTGATGCCGAAAATCGGCCGCCGAATGCGAAGAAGATGCAAAATTATGGAATCAAAATTGGGTCTTCTTTGTTTATCAAATTCTGTTTCTAATTTTGGATTGTGGGGATTTGCATCAAATTTGTCTCTTCTTTGGGAAAAAGTGGTAAAAGGAATTTAGAGTGCAAAAAAGAATTACTGTAACATGGACATTTCGTATATTACATGAACACTCATATGAAATTATGAATATGAGCTGAATTAATCTAATAAATAAAACTATAAAAGAAGTCAATATCCATAGTCAAATACGGCCGCACATGGACGCATGAATAACATAACAACATGGTTGGATTAGTACTTACACTCCTCTTTTGTCTTAGCTTTGATTCAATAATTCTGTCAGGTTGCCATAAAGTTCTCGAATGGACTATGATATTTCAGAATTATACATTAGTACTATTATTGCTGTCTCTCCCGACAATATGACTTTCTCAAAAAAAGTAAAAGATAAAAAAAAATATTGCCATATGAACTCTATTCTGCAATAGAAACTATCCCTTATCTTATCAATAAGGAGAAAATTATTAGTGGAAATGGTTAAATGATAAATGTAATGATATTATGTATAGCTAGAGTAAAAAGAAAAAAGAATTCAATTTCCAACGAATAACTAAAATAATATAATTATTAAGTGTATTATTAAAATGAGACGGACAGAATACCAATTGATAATAAAAATTTTAAGGAAAGACAAAAAATAACACGAAATCAAGCATTAGATACAAAATCCCACTGATTTTCACCAACAAATTTACATTACCAAAAGCATAGCCAACCGCCAACAAACACTATCATCTAGTCAACTACAGATACCAATTCATTTTCTGAATCGACAAATTAAGCAAAAGTTCTAAACACAACAAAGAGGCTTAAACTCAAAAGCGCCAAGAAAGGAACTCATGATTAATCAACATCAATCATTCCTACTCCCAAAACCCAACTCAGAATTTGCATCATATCCAAAGCTTCCACCAGCAGAAGGGAAAACTCTATTGCTTTTGGTATCAGGATTGTTACTGATGATATTCCCTACAGAAGACCCTCCATTTTTTCTTGCTCTTTCTTCTTCCTTCCTCTTCAATTTCTCTTCTTGACGCTTTTGCTGAACACGAAGGTTTGCATAACTTGCTCCAATGGAAGCCATATTTAATACTCACAATGTTAAACTTTTTGTATATGATTAGTATTTTTGGAGATGAAGATATATTGAGAGAAGGGTTGGTATTTATAGGGGTCAATTATTTGGCCTTTTTTGATAAAGTAGCCCCCCGAAACGAACTGAAACTGATGGCTTCTGATTATGGGTTACTATATTTTTATTATTTCATGAAAATGAGACATAAGGGCGATTTAGAGAGGGCCGTTAGTTAACTTGGGGGTGGGGTGGGTGTGGTGGTACCATTTGTACAAATAAAACGTACCACATTTTTTAAGTATGGGATAATGGTCAATATGGATTATGCATAGTTGGACATCAATAAATGGAGTTAGCCGTGTCAGCTTACCATCATTTTTTAAAAAAATATATGTTTATGGAGATTAGCTTGAAACAACATAATTTTTCCGGAAATTATACAGGCACTTACGGGCGCGTGCATACCACGCGCTAGGCAAAGGCGTGGATAAGCCCACGGCAAGTTCTTTTTCTTTTTTTATCTTCCCCTTTTTGGTTTACGTTGGGGATTTTGGGTTTTTTTTTTTGTATTTAAGGGGAAAATTTTGGGGGTTCTTTTTAGTGGGATTTTGCTTTTTTTTTTTTTTTTTTTCCGTTTATCGGTTTTTTAATGCGCATGACTTTTTCTTTTCTTTTTTTTTTTGTTTTGGTTTAGTGTTTTTTTTAATTGTAGTATTGTGTAATTATCTAGATATAATTATCCTTTATTTTGAATTTTTTAACAATGAAAAATTTCATATGTTTTTTTTGCAGTTTATTTTTTTTCACTGTAGGTCTAATTTCTTACTTAATATAATTTTAAATTATATAATAAGACCATGTAAAATATACTACACCACCTTGAAAATTATATAACAAGACCATAAAATAAATTACCATACATGAATTTTAAAATTATATATAGTAACACAATAAAATAAATTACTATTGCATGGCCTTTAAGATTATATAATAAAATCATAAAACAGATTATATAGAGGAACTAAGATCATTAGTACTAAGAAGTAACACCAGATTGTTTTTCTGGAAAATAAATACAACTATAGTAAAACCTCTCTAAATTAATAAACTTGGGCCTCCAAAATTAATAATTATTAATTTATCGATAAATTAATATTTTATTAATTTAAAGAGGTTTTCAATACTAGTAGTAAGAAAATACAAAAATCTATTATTTTTATATCAAGAAAAGTTCGTTACAGCTCCAGCCATAAATTTATAATTTTTTTAATGTAACAAAAACATGATAATTTATGAACATAAATAAAAATACTTAAGTTAAAATCTAAGTTTAACTTCAAATTTAATTTATCATTTTAGGTATTTATTAATTTATGAAATCATTCGGACCTATATATACATATGAGATTGTTGAAAAACTTATTATCTTATAAGTTAATCGAGTTTTTTTTTTCATTTTTTGTACTGGTCCGAGTTGTGACCGGAGAAAAATATTATTTAATAGAAGTTATTAATTAGTAGAAGATTAATTTAGGGAGGTTTTATTGTACTTACAATTCCACACAAATGCTCGCTCTGATATATCCCCGGAAAAAACAATTCCAATATTTTAAAGGAGTGTCGCGCAAGCGAAAGAAACACACATAGCCGCCGTTAGCATCTGCCGCTCCTCAAACAAGTCCACTCCTGACACACGCCTGCTTCTCACACATGACCGCTCTGATATCTCCCCCGAAAAAAGTTTCCAATTTATATTTGAATGGTCGTGCAGGCGTCCGAAAAGCACGTCAGCCACATGCTACATGAGCATCTGCCGCTCCTCACACAAACCCACTCTTTATACATGCCCGCTCCTCACACACGATCACTCCGATATCTCTCTCGAAAAAGGTTTCTAATTATATTCGAAAGGTCCCGCAGGCGGCTGAAAAGTACGCTAGCCGAAGGCTATGTGACCATCTACTGCGAAATATCCGTCGCTCCTTACACACTGCCACTCCTCACACACGCTCACTCCTCACACACATCTACTCCGACTTCTCTCCGAAAAAATAGTTTCCAATTTATATTCGAAAGGCCGCGAAAACGGCTGAAAAGCACGCTAGCCGAAGGTTACGTTACTATCTGCCGCGAAATATCCGCCGCTCCTTACACACTGCCGCTCCTCACATAGTCCCACTCCTCACACACACCTGCACCAATATTTCACTCGAATAAAGGTTTCCAATTTATATTCGAAGGGCAGCACAGGCGACCGAAAAGCATGCTAGCCGAAGGCTATGTGACCATCTGCCGCGAAGTATCCGCCGCTCCTTACACACTCCCGCTCCTCACACACTCCCGCTCCTCACACACACACTTGCTCCGATATCTCTCCTGAAAAAAGATTTCCAAATTATATTCGAAAGGCTGCGCAGGCGGCTGAAAAGCACGCTAGCCAAAGGCTACGCTACCATCTGCCGGAAGTATCTGCTGCTCCTTACACACTGCCGCTCCTCACACATGCCCGCTACTCACACACACCAGCTCCGATATCTCTCCTGAAAAAAGGTTTCCAATTTATATTCAAAGTGCCGCACAGGCGGCCGAAAAACTCGCTAGCCGAAGGCTACAAGAGCATTTGCGAAGCATCTGCCGCTCCTCACACAAGATCGGTCCTCACACACGCTTGTTCCTCACACACGACCGTTCCAATATCTCCTCCGAGAAAAGGTTTCCAATTTATATTCAAAGGTCCGCACATGCGGCCAAAAATCTCGCTAGCCAAAGGCTATCAGAGCATCTGCCGCTCCTCAAACACGCTCGGTCCTTACACTCGTCCGCTCCTCACACACGACCGTTCCGATATCTTTCTCGAAAAAAGTTTCCAATTTATATTCGAAGGGCCACATAGACGGTCAAAAAGCTCGCTAGCCGTAGGCTACGTGAGGATATGTCGTTCCTTACACACACTCCCTCTGATATTTCTCCCGAAAAATGATTCCATTTTATATTATGGGTAATTTTTAATATGTGAAAAAAAGACCAAGACCTAGTGGAAAAGGTAGGAAGACGAAAGGCCAAATAAATAGAAAATAGAAAACCAAAGACCAAAGACCAGAGTGAAGTGCGAGCGTGTGTGAGGAGTAAAGATCAAAGGCCAAAGGCCAAAGACCAAAAATCGAAGACCAAAGACCAAAGATCAAAAGACCAAAGACCAAAGACCAAAGACCAGAGACCAGAATGAAGAGCACCAGTGTGTGAGGAGTAAAGACCAAAGACCAAAGGGCAATAACTAGAGAGCAAAGACCAAGACTAAAGACCAAAGGCTAAAGATAAAAAAATCAAGGACCAAAAACCGAAGACCAAAGACCAAAAGTCTAAAACAAAAAATCAAAGACCAAAGACCAAAGATGAAAGATTAAAAAAAACAAACCAAAGACCAAAGATGAGAGTGAAAACCGAGCGTGTGTGAGAACCAAAGACCCAAGACCAAAAAATCAAAGACCAAAGACCAAATACCAAAGACCAAAGTGAGGAGCGAGTGTGTGTGACGAGCAAAGACCAAAGACCAAAGATTATAGTGACGAGTGACAGTGTATGAGGAGCAAAGACCGAACACCAAAGCTCAATGACTAAAGTGAAAAGACCAAAGACCGAACCAAAGGCTAAAGACAAAAAATAAAAAACCAAAGACCAAAGGCCTTAGACTAAGAACCAAAGACCAAAGACCCAAGATTAAAGATCAGAGTGAAGAGAGAACATGTGTGAGGAGCAAAGACCAAAGACCAAAAGGCCGGAGAGCAAAGACCAATGACCAAAGTGCAAAACCAGAATGAAGAGTGAACGTGTGTGGGGAACAAAGAAGAAAATGACAAAAATCGAAGACTAAAGACCAAAGGTCAAAGAGCAAAAAACCGAAGACCAAAGGCGAGAGTGAAGAGCGAGCACGTGTGAAGAACAAAGACCAAAGACCAAAAGTCAAAAATCAAGAATAGAATACTAAAGACCGATAGTATAAACAAGAATGACCAAAATGTTTTTCAGAAAGACCAAGGTAAAGACATATAAATCAAGACTTACAGCAGCAAATAAAAAGACCAAACTGTTTTCACAAAATACTTAGGAGTAACAAGTAAGAACAAAGTATCTTTTAGGAAGACCAAGGTCAGTTAATAATTTTTTTTTTAAGTTTCGAAAAATATATTCATGAAGGATCTTGTTGGATAGATCTCGTCGAGTACTATGAAAAATATAAGACACTTGGTCTAATTATTTATGGATTATGAAATAAAATTATTTGAATATCAAAGAAAATTTTAAAACTCACTTCCTTCAATTAAGGAGGAATGGTACGCATATTTCACTTTTTAAAAAAAATCAGATTTTGGGCTAAAAAAAGAGAAGAGGGCGCGTGGTATCACATTAAGTACGTGTCGTATAATAACTCTAATTTCTTAGTTATTAAAATAATAAGATCGAAAGTCTTGTCAACTAAAAAGTTAAAGTGGTGGAACGCGGTTGGACTCATCATATGTACTATATAAAATAATTACGTACACTCGCTAGTTTATGCATTTTTTGGACTAAGGTCAGTATTTTGTACACCATAACTAACATATAAAATCTCATTATAGATTGCGTGCCTATTGAATTTCTAGCAAGAATGGAAATTTAAATATTATTTAAAACTAATGGATTGAAATACACTTTACTATTTCTAGCTAAAAAGAAAAAATGAGTTTAAATATTACGTCTAAGTGTCTGGAATTTCGACCTGGGAGATAAAGGCCCAGCGAATTTCTAATAGCAACTCGAATAATTACGTAGGAGTCCATCTCAACTTAAATTTCAAGGTAAAAACCAACTTACTCATTAACTATTCTCTATACCAATTATTCATAACCTTAACATAAAGTATTCTAAATTGTACTTGAAAGTATAAAAATTTAAATTGAATAATTATTTCAAGACGGATGGAATATAATGAATTTATGTGGTTTGATGTGGAAAGATTCTTTGATCAGCATTGTGAGGGGCAGTGCATGCATCATGCACGTGATTGATGTGAAATCAAAATATACCTTTAAACCTTGTAACTTTGTAAGTATTCTCAAGGCAGGTTTCTGGGAAATTTCGTTTCGATGGCGAAATTAATCTCCCATTCTTTGCTTTCTCGAGATTTTCATAACCAATTCTAGTAAACTATATTTGATCGAATCTAAGGGTTTTTTCTCGTTTCATCAAGAGTCAATTCCAAGC